CCCCCCCGGCTTGCTCAGATCAATGCGATCAGGAATTGACGGAAAATTTTAAACTCCGGCGAGGAAGTAGATGAGTTTTCATGTAATTGGATTTTTGGTTCGAGATTTGGGGGTTGTCAAATGTAAGTTTAGAGGGAATTAAACTATTCCGCCCCCGCTTGAATTGGAGAAAATATCTAGTGTAACGGCATCACTAAGAGCCAGGAGATGACGTTTCTATTTTCAATAACACCGTGATAAAACCAAAATTATAATATATTTTTAAGTGTTTTATAATATTTTAATGTATTTATACAGTTATTTTTAAATATTTTAATGTGTTTTATGATGTTTTAGTATATTTTTATTAATATTTTAAGAAAATAAATTTAAAATTTTTTATTCGTTTTTATTCTACTTTCAAAATAAGTCAAAATTTTATCGAGGCAGATTGAAATGTTTATGTTTTTCAAATTATCGAAATAATATACAAAAACAAAAATTTGATCCTTGTAAATGAGTAAGTGGACCAAAGGAAAATAGAAATGAGGTTGATTTTATTTATTTTTTATTTTTTATTAAATAATTGTATTTTTTATTTCATTTTTTTAAGTTAAATTTGAGTGAGGTTCATTTTATTTATTTTTTATATAATTTTAACCCACACTTTCTTATAGTAAAAATATATTTTGCAAAGAAATCTTTAATTATGTACACAGAGCATAGGTTAAAAACATGTTTTCAAAAACATATAGTAGTTTAAGAAATAAGTTTCAAGCAATAATATTTTTTGAGTAAAGTTAAACAAATAATTCAAAAATAATCTGTTTAAGAGAATTGATAAGCCTTTTCGACATTAANACTATAATCCAGGAAAAATAACAATAGAATCATCGCACATGCTACTCAGTAACAACACTATATAACAGTCGAATTACACAGAAATGAATGTGCATCCATCGACATGTGCGTGTGTAGATATGCATACATGCACATCTACACACACACATATAAACACACAGATACACAAACAATCGTATAAAAAAGATGCAAACACCAAATTTGAAGGCAATGCGAAGTATATAAATGTATAAGTTTCAATAATTAATAGAACGCGAACGCGATACAAGAATAGAAGATTACTAGTACAACCTTGAGGTCAATGTTGGAACGGATTGTGAGGTATGGAGCGAACTCAGGATCTGTGAGGATGTTCTTCCACTTTCCTGTGCCGTGCTTTGCCACTCCCGCTCGTAGGGTTTCTTCTTCCTCTGAAGTCCACTTCTGCTTTTGATTCCCCATCTCTCTCTCTCTCTCTCCCTCTCCTCCCCCCNTCAACAAGGTGAAAGCTTGTGTACTTAGGTTTCTTACTATTTTGTTCTGTCCCCTGCTTCAAATTTAGCATAAAATACCAAAACTCCGATCCTCACTCCTTCCTTTCTTAATATTGTTTTTATATCTCAATATCCTCAGTGTGTGGAATTGCATTTCGTCAACCACAGAATGGAATATAATCCAGGAAAAATAACAATAGAATCATCGCACATGCTACTCAGTAACAACACTATATGACAGTCGAATTACACAGAAATGAATGTGCATCCATCGACATGTGCGTGTGTAGATANGACGAATGAACCTCCAAGCAGATACCAAATACTTCAAGTATCCTTGATGAGATTCGCGTGACACTAAAAATCATAGCATTCTAATGGCTTACGCCTATGCACAAGCCTTACCACTTAGAAGTTACTTGTGGGAATACAGTTGTATGGTATCATTCAACATAGTGAATGATGTTTACCTTTATTCATTAGATTATATCATACAGAAAACTTCATTTATATTGGAATGGTCGGTTTGTACACTCGTTGCACGATTAGTATAGTTGATTTCCCCTCTTTCCACACACGCCTTAAACAGCATCCAATATCAGATCAACAAGGTGAAAGCTTGTGTACTTAGGTTTCTTACTATTTTGTTCTGTCCCCTGCTTCAAATTTAGCATAAAATACCAAAACTCCGATCCTCACTCCTTCCTTTCTTAATATTGTTTTTATATCTCAATATCCTCAGTGTGTGGAATTGCATTTCGTCAACCACAGAATGGAATATAATCCAGGAAAAATAACAATAGAATCATCGCACATGCTACTCAGTAACAACACTATATAACAGTCGAATTACACAGAAATGAATGTGCATCCATCGACATGTGCGTGTGTAGATATGCATACATGCACATCTACACACACACATATAAACACACGGATACACAAACAATCGTATAAAAAAGATGCAAACACCAAATTTGAAGGCAATGCGAAGTATATAAATGTATAAGTTTCAATAATTANTAAACACAGGTAAACGTGTGATAAACGATTTGACAAGTCTCATTCGAACACGGCCCGTTTATTAAACATATTTAGCATGTCAACCTATTTATCACACAAACCCGTTAAGATCTTACACAAACCCGTTTAATTCGTGTCGATTAATCGTGTCGTGTCAAATTTTGATAATCCTAGTCATGACGTCATTTGTTGAAGTGATATATGAGTTTGTAGAGTTCGAAAAAAATATTTAATTTCAATATTAGAGTTTGTAGAGATAGACCATGAGGAATTTATCCCTTATAAATATCTTAATTTTGTCGTAAATGATATGTTTTAGACCTAATGAAGAAGAAATTAGTCCAAATTCACGTAAAATGACACAAATAACCCAAACCGTCGAACCACAATTTTTTATTAACACTTTATAATATTAGTTGACAATACTAGCATTTTATACTTTTTAATTAGGCATGATAAGGATTCCTTGACATAATTAATAAAAATACGGAATCATTTAAGACAAAAGACACGAGAATTTGTTCGACGAAGAAATTTACATTTCTGCCCCACAATAAAATAATAAATTAAATATCACCAATTATCTTTCCACTAAAAAAGATTAATTTACTTTGTCTCTTAAAGATCTTGAAATATTATAACATAAATAAATTTTAAACTCAAACGCTCTGAATTTAAATTTTTAATAATTTATTTGGACAAGGTCCTGAGGAATTTATTTCTCATAAATTATTTAGTTAAAGCATGAATAATTTATTTTTGATCAAACCGATGAAAGAACCAATCGAAATTCATGTAAGCTGCCACGGACACCCTATTTTTTATCTTATTGGGAGAGTTGAACAAAAAAAAAAATTTGAGAAAATTTAAAATTTCGAAGGAAAAGGAAAGAACGCACCTAGCCACCACCTANTTTCATAAATTATTTAGTTAAAGCATGAATAATTTATTTTTGATCAAACCGATGAAGAACCAATCGAAATTCATGTAAGCTGCCACGGACACCCTATTTTTTATCTGATTGGGAGAGTTGAACAAAAAAAAAATTTGAGAAAATTTAAAATTTCGAAGGAAAAGGAAAGAACGCACCTAGCCACCACCTACGCACCACACTACACAGCCAAGGAGAATATTCAAAGGGAGAATTTCAATTTATAACCTCTAAAAATTTAATATTTTTTATTTATACTTTTAAATATTAAATTATTTACACTGCTATCAATATATTAAAAATATTAAAATGTAATTTATCTATTATTTTTTATTTCTTATCCCGTCAAAATTATTTTATTAACATTGACGGAATAAGTAATAGAAATTATCAAAAACACTACATTGTAATATTTTTAATATATTAAGAATAAAATGTAAAAAAAATTTAATATTTAAAAATATAAAATAAAAATTCATAAATCTGTAAGGTATAAAGTGAAATTCGTCCAAATTAAATTTCAAAGAAAGGCGATCCAGACCGATCGTGGTGGACTGACTATTGGCCCGACCGAATNTAATATTTAAAAATATAAAATAAAAATTCATAAATCTGTAAGGTATAAAGTGAAATTCGTCCAAATTAAAAATCAAAGAAAGGCGATCCAGACCGATCGTGGTGGACTGACTATTGGCCCGACCGAATAGAATCGAAACAAAATTTGACATCCCCATTTCAAAATCGAACAGCGACGATCAATCCCTGCTCCTCCGTCCTCCGTTCTCGAGGAGAATTAGGGTTTCCGCAGCTCCGTACCATGACTTACGCATCTCACATCTTCCGTCACTCGAAGAAGGTACACTCAGATTCACAACTCCAATTTTTTTCTGGATCTTCAGATGTACACATTTATGCACATGCAGACGTATTCACGTATTGAGTCTTTTCGATGTACAGCTTTGATAATCCCGTTTCTTTCTTATTTGATGCGTCTAGCATTAGTTGCAATATAATGTTTTGAATCATGGCTAATCAGAAGATATCGCGTTCGTGATGTAATTTTCCCGCGGCGGAGTCAACTTTTATTGTAAAATTTAGTAGGTCGTTATGGTTTCCCGGTTTGTAAATGGCTGAGCTGCCACAACACTTGCTGTTTCTTCGTCAATGCATAATTAAATTAAAATTGAAGTAAATGCCCCTTTCAGTACTTCTGGGATGGAGAGCATCATGTGATCTATAGGCTTTTTATGTTCTTGCCTTACATTGTATTTTTGTTTGGCTTTCATGTATTTCCGCTTTTATTTTAATACAAAATGTTTCGTTTCCTATGAAAAAAGGACTATAAATTCTGCCCAGTTATTTATCATTCCTTTCATTTCAAAGCAGATGGAGTGTCTTTTGCATTAGTCTATTCTTGTCTCAAGCCATCATCTCTTGTGCTTCTCTATGGGTTCAATTATTGTAGAAGCATGCAATTGTAAATGTGTTGCTAGGTGATTGGCTATATATATTTTGTTTTCTCAAAGTTTAGTTGATTTTGATATTTAAAAAGAATTTCATGATGATTCGCTGCCTCGTTTTTTGTGTTTATTTTTCCTTGAATGATATTGATGTTCTCTTTTTTATTGCCTCACAGTTTAGAAATGCTCCGACCTTACTACGTCAGGATCATGCAATCCTGGTTCGCTGGTTTGCCAATGACACACGCTCCTCTGTTGATTTAGGAGATGGTAAGTAGCTGATCCTGCTTCTCTATGTTGTACCTATTCAATGTCAGCTACTGTTTACCATTCTTCCTTGTTATTCTATCACTTGATAATTTTTTTGGTAAGTTTGTTCTACAGTGAATCTATATCATCACTACATTTTTGTTTTTATATAAATGTGCTTGGAGTAGGTTAAAGAGATTGTTTTAGATCCTCGGTGTCCCGACATGAATGGAATCAAAGTACTGTTGTTGTATATGAATATCTGATACTGATCCTAGTTTCAGTTACTGTCTGTCTTATTATAAAATGTAGACCCATGGTATTTTTGGTATGGGGGCAAGGTAGCCTAGCCACTAGGCATGCCAACATTCATTTTGTTTTCAATCTTACTGTGATTTATGGTTTTAACTTTTAACTTTCCATTTGTATGTGGCGATTCAGCATGGTCTGCCATGCTTTTTTACTTTATGCTTTTTCATGTAATAGTTCTTACTATTTTTCTGTTGCTTTCAGATATTCTGAAGTTCCGCCGATTTGGTTGTGTGCCTGGAGAAAGAGATGGAGTTTGTAAGTCTTCCAGTGGATGCACTTCCAGTACAGCCATCTATAGTCAAAGTCATAGAGCTATAAATCATGCCATGGTGATTAAACCCAACACACTTTGTCTATACTTTCCTCTGCCTTCTTTAGGCTTGAAATCTATTGGTTGTAAATCATTTCGTGTAGATCTCATCAATAGAAAAACGTGAGGGAAATGCTCCTATGGCTTGCTTGGTGTTTAACAGAAGTTTTTCGTGGTATGTTATGCCCCACGTTGCAAATTCTATTAAGCATCTTTAATATATAGACCTTATTTTTTGTGTTTTGTTAGCAGTACACAGTTGCTTCCCAGGAGAAATATTTCGACTGATGCAGGTACAGTTGTATGATACCATTTTTTTATCTTAGAAATCATAACCTGCTTATAAGCTTTTCATTTTGTGGAGATGATCCTTGCCAGCGATAATTGGAATATTGTAACATCAGTCTGGCTCACAACTATCCCTTTAAGAGCATCTTGAACCTTACCATGGATATGGCTTAGTGTTCACTTATCAAACTGCAATCAATTGATCGCTTACCTCAATTGATTACATTTGGAAGGTACATGAACATGTTACATGAGGGGACCTCTGATGTCAGACACCATTTGTTTTGTAGACTCTTGATTACATCTGGGTTATATACAAGAAAACTGAAAGCTTTTACAGTTTACACCTGTTGTTTTAAATGTAACTCTAGATGAAAGCCTTGAACAGTATTGGAATTGTCAACACAACTGTGCAAGCAGTGTCAGCCTGTTTATGTTATTTTTCCTCCGAAGACTTGTTCACAATGACATAAAATTGTATGCTTATGTGCGATAACGTTCTTTCAATTCTATGATTGGTTTTTCTCATGTATTTCTCTGTTTTGAATGAAATTCTGCAATATGTGTGTAATATGATTTGTCAGATTACTATTAAGAAGTATTTCATTTGATTGTATAGTTGCAATATCCTAGTATACTAAGGAATCTGTGTGCTATCTTTTAGGCCTTCCTTCCCACCAAGAGATTGGGATGCCTTCTCTTTCGCCTACGATGACTGAGGTATGTACCTTGGTAATACCCAGGAGACCATCACACTGTTTTCCATCTATTGTTTTCACCTTAAACTGATCTTTTTTTTTTCTGTGAAATTCAGGGTNCAATGACTGAGGTATGTACCTTGGTAATACCCAGGAGACCATCACACTGTTATCCATCTATTGTTTTCACCTTAAACTGATCTTTTTTTTTTCTGTGAAATTCAGGGTAATATTGCAAGATGGTTGAAGAAAGAGGGAGAGAAAATTTCTCCTGGCGAAGTACTCTGTGAAGTCGAAACAGTAGAGTCCTCCTTTTGTCTGCTTTTATGTTTTTGCAGTTGATGAAAGTTTTGACTCCTGCATTTTACTCATCATGTTTTCTAAGTACCTTGGTTTAATTTGTAGGATAAAGCAACGGTAGAGATGGAATGCATGGAGGAAGGATATCTAGCTAAAATCATTCATGGAGATGGAGCCAAAGAAATTAAAGTTGGCGAGGTATTGATCTGTAATGTTATTAGCGCCACCCTTTGGAGTTATCCCTTATTTTATTTTTGTTGTCAGATTGTAAATGAATTAGAAGAGGAAGTACATTTTGGCCACAATCCATGGCGCTCCTCTCTTTTCCTCCATCACTGTCTCATCCCTAGTCGCATTGTCACAGTGAGGTGTCCTTTCTGAAGAACATGACATAGTTACCCAAGCTTTGCCTTTTTATATCCATGTTTCACACTTCAAGCTTAACTTCTGGATAGTGGACATCTATTTTATTTTCTAAGTAATTCACTAGTGATTACAAACAAAAAAAAAGTTAACGATTCTTTCAATAGCACCAAAGAAAAAAAATTGAAATAAAATAGTCAGGTTATACCTCATGTCTAGTTATTTATTTGTTTGGTAGACTNTACATGAGGGGACCTCTGATGTCAGACACCATTTGTTTTGTAGACTCTTGATTACATCTGGGTTATATACAAGAAAACTGAAAGCTTTTACAGTTTACGCCTGTTGTTGTAAATGTAACTCTAGATGAAAGCCTTGAACAGTATCGGAATTGTCAACACAACTGTGCAAGCAGTGTCAGCCTGTTTATGTTATTTTTCCTCCGAAGACTTGTTCACAATGACATAAAATTGTATGCTTATGTGCGATAACGTTCTTTCAATTCTATGATTGGTTTTTCTCATGTATTTCTCTGTTTTGAATGAAATTCTGCAATATGTGTGTAGTATGATTTGTCAGATTACTATTAAGAAGTATTTCATTTGATTGTATAGTTGCAATATCCTAGTATACTAAGGAATCTGTGTGCTATCTTTTAGGCCTTCCTTCCCACCAAGAGATTGGGATGCCTTCTCTTTCGCCTACAATGACTGAGGTATGTACCTTGGTAATACCCAGGAGACCATCACACTGTTATCCATCTATTGTTTTCACCTTAAACTGATCTTTTTTTTTTCTGTGAAATTCAGGGTAATATTGCAAGATGGTTGAAGAAAGAGGGAGAGAAAATTTCTCCTGGCGAAGTACTCTGTGAAGTCGAAACAGTAGAGTCCTCCTTTTGTCTGCTTTTATGTTTTTGCAGTTGATGAAAGTTTTGACTCCTGCATTTTACTCATCATGTTTTCTAAGTACCTTGGTTTAATTTGTAGGATAAAGCAACGGTAGAGATGGAATGCATGGAGGAAGGATATCTAGCTAAAATCATTCATGGAGATGGAGCCAAAGAAATTAAAGTTGGCGAGGTATTGATCTGTAATGTTATTAGCGCCACCCTTTGGAGTTATCCCTTATTTTATTTTTGTTGTCAGATTGTAAATGAATTAGAAGAGGAAGTACATTTTGGCCACAATCCATGGCGCTCCTCTCTTTTCCTCCATCACTGTCTCATCCCTAGTCGCATTGTCACAGTGAGGTGTCCTTTCTGAAGAACATGACATAGTTACCCAAGCTTTGCCTTTTTATATCCATGTTTCACACTTCAAGCTTAACTTCTGGATAGTGGACATCTATTTTATTTTCTAAGTAATTCACTAGTGATTACAAACAAAAAAAAAGTTAACGATTCTTTCAATAGCACCAAAGAAAAAAAATTGAAATAAAATAGTCAGGTTATACCTCATGTCTAGTTATTTATTTGTTTGGTAGACTCATATTTTTATCTTGTGGTAGTCCACTGCCTTTCCTTACTGGTACAACCAATATCCACTTTGGCCTTCCCTCATCTGTCTTGGCATCCTTATTTCGGCTATGCCCCATTTTGCATACATGGTTTTCTGGCATTCTTCAGAAAAAAATAGAATTTGGAGCTGTCTTGCAGAATGTTTTCCTGGTTTTGGTTGGTATTTTTCAATCACATGACCCGCCATATGTGTTGTTAACCCATTATTGTGATAGAACTTAATCCGTAGTGAATTATTTAGTTGGAAATCCTGTTTTATTTCCCCCTTTCACCTTTCTTTCTTCTTTTGAATGGTCAGAGGGAAAATGAATTACTTGAAGTATGAGAATTTGTCTTTGTAGGTGATTGCCATAACTGTTGAGGAACAGGAGGATGTTGCAAAGTTCAAAGATTACAAACCTTCAACAGAGGGTGCTGCAGCTGCTCCTAAATCTCCTCCTGTTTCTTCTCCTCCCAAAGAAATAGTTGAGGAACCTGCCAGTTCACCAGAGCCAAAACCTTCCAAGCCTCCTGCGGTTCCTGCGGCAGACAGTCGCATCTTTGCTAGCCCTCTTGCTAGGAAATTGGCTGAAGATCACAATGTACATTCTAATAGTTGCTGTGATAAACATTTTCTTTTATTCGACCATGTATCTTCGAGATTGATATTTTGTTTACATTTGTAATTGCATTGTAACTTGTCCTATATTTCCGTAAATGTAGGTATCCCTCTCAAGCATCAAAGGAACAGGTCCTGATGGGCGCATTGTGAAAGCTGACATTGAAGATTACTTGGGTATTTTATTTGATATAACTATTTTACATGCTGAGGGTCAAATGCTCTATTTCCTTTATAATTGATTTTCTTCAGTGACATCTGCACGATGCTGCATCATGCTTGACAAGAATTATTTGCTGATTTAATATTGTTTCTCTATATTGTGTAGCTTCTCGTGGGAAGGAAGTTTCAGCAGGAGCCCCTAAGGTTGATGTTACAACTGCTGGAGCTCTGGATTACGCAGATATTCCTCATTCTCAGATAAGAAAGGTGATATTTGGAATCTCTGCCATCATTGTTATAAATTTGTACTCTTATTCAAACAATTTTGAGGGTATGGATTTAAAGCTTTTTCGCATGGGCATGTATATTTCATTTCGTGAGGTGTCATATCTCGTTTTGTAGCATTGCCTTGTCTTCCTGTCTCTAATTCATGGTACAATGTTGACAGGTCACAGCTTCGCGATTGTTACTCTCAAAGCAAACCATCCCACATTATTATTTAACTGTAGATACTTGTGTTGACAAACTGATGGAGTGAGTGTTAATTTTTGCCTTCTTTGTAGAGTTGGGCCTCTATCTGTGTTTGTGATTGTCAGTAATTCCGCTTTATCTTCAGATTACGGGGACAACTCAATTCATTACAAGAAGCTTCTGGTGGAAAGAGAATTTCTGTGAATGATCTTGTAATTAAGGTATTGGATTCCCCTAGCACAATGAGTTTTTTGGATTTTTTTGGTGTCCAAGTCTAAAAGGCAACTTATTTTTCCCATGTTGAAAACTATTGAACTTTGAAAATGTTTGGAAAGAACTCATAGGAGAATGGGCTTAATGGCCTCTCAAAGACAGCAAAGTGCTTGGTTATTTTTCAGAAGTTTCTGGGACCTGCTGTTTTTGTAAAATTGTGTGTTGAAATTATCTAGCAATTTAAACAAATTGAGAATGTGGAACTGGAAATTGATGAATTTGATGTAGGGAGCTTAGTGATCAAAGTGGCCTTTTGTCAAGTTGCTTTGAGCCTGCTCTATAGTTACATGACATCATAAATCAAGTTTTGAAGTCAATCAGGCTACATACGACACTATTGGAACCCCGACACCAATTAGGCGATACTATTTTCTCATTAGATAAAATGGCTGTTATTGGTATGCTAATGGGTTGTAGAAGTTTTCAATGAGTTGACTTCGATAGTAATTTTGTTGCAGGCTGCTGCTCTGGCTCTTCGAAAAGTTCCTCAGTGCAATAGTTCATGGACCAACGACTACATCCGACAGTAAGTATACAATAATGAACACTGTAATTCAGTTACGATACGACATTCCTTTGAACAACTTTTCTGTGGCAAATATCCAGGTATCACAATGTGAATATCAATGTTGCTGTGCAGACAGATAATGGACTTTACGTCCCTGTCATTCGGGTGAGTATTGGTTACTAAACAAAAAGATTGAGAGAATGGTTTTGATTTGAATTATTGTTTTCATGACACAAACCCTCCTTTGGAATTTGCAGGATGCTGACAAGAAAGGTCTATCCAAAATTGGCGAGGAAGTCAAACATTTGGCTCAGAAAGCAAAGGATAACAGCTTAAAACCAGAAGATTATGAGGTTAGAATGATCTTTTTTGTTAATTAAAGTTCGGCAAGTGATTATTGCTGTATGGTAATTAGTATGATTTTTGGATATCCTCTTTGCAGGGAGGCACATTTACTGTGTCAAATTTAGGAGGACCTTTCGGTATAAAGCAATTTTGTGCCATCATCAATCCTCCGCAGTCGGGCATTCTAGCTGTTGGGTCTGGTAAGATATATGGCCTTTTACTTTGTTTCTTTGGAGTATTATGGTGATGACCATCATTATCATCATTGACAAAATTGTCCTTGAGCAGCTGAGAAGAGGGTTATACCGGGTTCTGGCCCTGATCAATTCAAGTTTGCTTCCTACATGGCCACAACATTGAGCTGTGATCATCGTGTCATAGATGGTAAGTTGCCCAGACTATTAAGTTGTCTATAACCAGTGCCATTTATGTGAGGTGATATGACCCTAACTATTGCACTTTGGTTCTCTTTCCAGGTGCAATCGGTGCAGAATGGCTGAAAGCATTCAAAGGCTACATTGAAAATCCGGAATCAATGTTGCTGTAAATCAGTCAAGTCCTTTTTTTTTTCCCCGAAAATATTTTTGCCTCGCTGTGATCACTCAGAAAGAGGGACTCCAATTGATCACAGGGGATCGTTTCTGGCTTTCCATTTGCCTCGACTGATTGTATCACTCAGCGTAGTGGTTTGCCTATAGGAACAAGGGTTAGATTGGTTTTTCTGAATAAAGGGGGCCTTGAGGCATGAAACCACGTTCTGAATTTTGTTCATGTAGAGTGTAAAGACACCCCACCCCGTCTTTGTGCGATGATTTCAGCTGAGAAGATATTGGCTGCATTAACAGTGACTGCTTGTTAGAATAATAAATTATCTGTTTTTTCTTGGCAAGTAATAAATTATCTGCTTAGTTCTTTAATATATTACTAGTTTCAATTCACACTTTAAACTAATGCTTCGTTTGGTACGATAGAAAGTTGAAGGGATAAATAAAACATCATGTTTGGTAAGGAAGGAAAGTAGGAAAGATAGAAAAGAGGATGAATTAATATTCCTTTCAATTAACTAAAATCAATCCCTCTAAAATCGGAAGGAAAATTGATGAAAAGTTAATTATTTGTGTTGAGATGTATTTTATTTGTTTATATATTTTATGTATACATTAATTTTATATAAAAATACAATGGTAAAATATGTGTATATATTTTAAAAAATTTAAAAATTAATTTTAAAAAAAAATATAAAAATTTTAAGTTAAAAAAAAATATTTTAAGTGAAAAAAAAATATTTTTTTTATCATTCGACTTAACACGATTATACGACTCGAAATCGATACGAAAATAAATAGGTCAACTTGTAACTTGATACGACACAATTAATTAAATGAGTTAAGTTAGGTTTGACTAATATTCGACACAAACTCGTAATGACTCAACACGAATCTAACACGACA